TGGCCATGGGGATTTGGTTATAGCCTGAATAGGCATCCATGAACGATAGTATTTTATAACCGACCAAGTTGTCAACCAGCATGTCTATGTTCGGTAAGTGAAATGCATCTTTCGGGCATGCCCGATTGAGATCAGTATAATCAACACACATTCGCCATTTTCCATTATTCTTTTTGACTAGTACAACATTTGACAGCCAGGTTGAATACCGGGCTTCAGAAATAAAATTTGCCTCTAAGAGGTCTTTTACAGCTTTTTCAGCAGCCTCCGTTTTCTCCGGGGACTGCCTACGTCTACGTTGTATTACTGCCCTAGCGACTGGATCTATGGCGAGACGATGACTGGCGACCTCGGGGTCGAGTCCAGGCACCTCTGTAGCGTTCCACACGAATAGGTCAGCATTCTCACGCAAGCAAGCTTTGATCTGTTTCCTCTCCAGGTCAGGGAGGCCGATACCGATCTTCACTCCTTTGCTTGCGTCCTCGCCAAGAGGGACGAGCTCGAAGTCTCCGTCCGAAATTAGTCGGAGGGGGACTTGCTCACTGTTGGAGGGCTCGTCCTGGTCGAAGCGGGTGTCCAGGGCTATGGATTCGACCTTTGGGGGAGCTCTTTGCTCTTCGGCCTTGACAGACTCTGTCTCCTTGGGCTCTGGTCGTGTGGTTGTTGGTCTCTTGGCGGGTCTTGTCCTGGGGTACCATGTCGCGTCCCTTGGATGCTGCGTTGAAACATCTTCGGGCGGCTGCTAGGTCACCTTGGATGGTGGCGACCCGTGCCCTCTTGGTGTAAAACTTCATCTTCAAGTGGACGGTAGAGGGTACCGCGGTCAATTCTGCCAATGTTGGTCTCCCCAAAATGCAGTTGTAAAGGGACGGGCAGTCGATGAGGAGGAAACGTACCTTGACCTGCCTGGTCTTCGTGTCCTCGCCAAAGGTAACCATGAGCTCGACGTATCCCCAAGGTTTGGAGGTCGAGCCGTTGAAGCCCTGCAGGTCTGACCCCACATAAGGTGAGAGGTGCGAGTCGTCGAGCTGCAGGGTCCGGAATAGTTGACTGTACATTACGTCGACAGAACTTCCTTCGTCGACGAGGACACAATGTACGTCAAAGTTAGCCATTCTCGCTCTTATTAGCAGCAGAAGGACCGCGTTGGGGGCTCCTCCGGGGAGTTCTTTGAGGTAAAAGGTGATAGGCTCCGATCTACCTTTCACCCTTTCAAAGGTCACGGTCTGAGGAGGTACAGAGTCGACCAATTCATCCAGCTTCCTCTTGGCCGAATTTATGGTCAGGTCGTTGAACCCCCTACCATTGATGACCATGGCGGAGGGAAAGTGCTCCAATCTGCTGTGCGTCGACAGCGGCTCTTGCAAGTGTTCGGGGACGTAAAATTCCTCGAGTCTGGTGACAGAGAAGGCGGTCTGGACGGGGACCGACTCGTCGGATGGTCAGGCATCTTCCTTTGGCTCCCTTGTCTCATGGGCGTCACGATGAGGAGCGTCATGTCGCCGGTACTGGGCGAGCCTCCCCCCTTTTATGAGGGTCTCGATGGCGTCCTTGAGATGACCATGGCTCCTATGGTATTGACAGTATTTGCTCCTGTCTACCCCGGGCTTGGCAGGAGCTGGTCGGGGGCGCTTGACGCCACCATCCTTGAAATCTGTACTAGCACACTCCGCCAAGATGCGCTCGCGGGAAGTCGTGAGCAGAGTGTACTTTGTGAAACGCCCCGAGGGCCTTCTCTGTTCTCGGACTTCTCGGGGTTTGTCGTCTTTTCTTTTCCCCCCGGTCCGTCGAGGAGGAACGACTTCTTGGAGCGGGTTGCTGCTGGATCCGCGAGTTCTGAGGTCACGGGCTCTGTTGGCCGCTTCCCTTTCCTCGTAGTCCATGTAGGCCCTGGCCTTCTTGAGGAGAGCATCGAACGTTCAGGGCGGTTCGATGCCCACTACTTTTCTGAACTCTGTGCCGGGGAGGAGTCCTCTCTCCAGCAAGTATCTGTTCATGTGGTTCGCGCAGGGGACTGGATGGCTTCACGGTTGAAGCGGTTGATGAATTCTCTCAAGGTTTCATCCTGCCTCTGGACGATAGCCTCGAGCGTCGCTTCGGTCTTCGGATGTCGCCGTGACGTGGTGAACGAGCTTATGAATTGGTTTTTCAAGTTTCGCCACGAGGTGATAGACCCCGGGGCAAGACCCTTGTACCAATCCATTGCTGCCTTCCTGAGGGTTGTGGGGAACAACCGACATTTGATGGGTCCCCCAACGTTATGGTAGTGCAGCATAGCTTCGAACCCGTCTATGTGATCGACCGGGTCGGCGACTCCGTCGTATTCCTTCAGGTGAGGGGGTTTCTCCATGCCCGGGGGGATAGGTGCCTCCATGATTGCTTGTGATAGGGGACCGCGGGGGTCATCCTTGTCACTTTGCTCTGGGGAAAGGGACGGGGATCTGAGGTACTGTCGGGCACGACGACCATGGTCGTGTTGGACGTCCCTCGAGCGGTGCGCTCGTTGATCTGTTCTTCCGTGCCTGTCTCCAGGGTGTCCTTGTTCTTGCTGTAAAGGGTCGTGGTTGTGCCCTCCGGCTTCGATGATTGGTTCCCTCTCCAAGGGGGGTCGTCTCCCCGGTTGTCAGGGTGATGGGCTTCGGGAGGTATCTCTGTATTGTCTCCGCGGGGGAGACGGGAGACGTACCTCTATTCTTCGAGGAGGTGGGGTCTGAGGCCTCCTGTGTTTCCTCGGGGGTCTCTTGTCGTCATCTAGCGCCCTCAATCTTTCCCCCTGGGCAAAGATGAGGTAATTGGTCTGGTTGATTGACGCGAACAGTGCTCTGGTCGTGGCGTCTGCTCTGGCGGGGACATGAACCTTCTAGAATTGGGCGACTAGATGGTTTGGGGGAGCTGTATTGTCTTCTTCGAGCGGAGGAGGGACCGAAGAAGATGAGGCAGTGGCTCCGTCCCGGTGGCCTAAGGGCCCGGGGATGACGCCCCCGGGGAGTATATTTTGGCCGGCGTTGTCGGGGGCTCCGTTCTTGTCCGCGAGGTTGTTGTTGGCATCGACGACGCGGATGTTCTGGTCGTCCCGAATTTGGTCAGCCATGACGGTGGAAGGTGATTTTTAGCTTTGGTCTTCGAAAGTTTGTAAGACGATGGAGTTTAGTTTCCCACAGACGGCGCCACTGATCTTACCAGATCAGACTTGGACCGTCACAACTGGCTCGAACTGGATTTGGATGAAGTGGGGGGGGGGGTACCTGCAAGACACTCCGATGATAAAATAAGAGACGGGATGAGCAGGCAAATATACGTAGGTGTGTAATGAATGAATACCTGACCCTCTTGAAGTAGAGGGTATTTATAGCCCCTGGCGCTGGGCCAAGGTCCCCTCATTGGGCCGACCAGAACTTGGCCCAATAAAGGGACTGTCAGGTTCTACGTGTGTAGTGGGGACCTGCACGTGGTCCCCCTCCTGGATGATGCTCTGCGAAAAATAAGGAAGAACGAAGACGCGGTCTTTCCGAAGCTTTGAGGATTCCATAACGGTTAGAGTGGACAGAATCTGCCCTACGGGGAGGGTGCTCGAGCTGGACTCGAGCTGGAGTTCCCTTGGTCGGGGATGCTGCTCGTCGAGGACAACGACAGACATTACAACTGTAGTCTGTGATCGGGCACGTTCGGTGACAGTCCGATTGTGAGCATTCCCCGAGGAGTTGCTTGGATCTGAACCTTTATTTACACTTTGGGTCAAGGTGGGCCCAGTCCAGAACAAATATAGATATAAATATAGATTATTATTATTATGATTTATTATTATTATTATTATTAGAGGAAAATTAAGTGAGAGAAGTTATAAGATTATAGAATAACTAATATTTTCACCTCGCGCGGGGTACGAGATAAATTATAGTATTAATATATTAAATATTAATTAATATATTTAATAATATTTATTGAAAAAAATAAGAAAATAATGTGATTAAAAATTATTTAGGTAAGATTTTATTCAAAATTTAGCGTTAAATATATATTCTATTTTAATATATTAAAGATATAGATATAGATATAAATATAAATAAGAAAAGGACATCGAAATGAATTGAAAAAGTAAAATCTAGAAAAATAATTTAAAAATAAAGAAAACAAAATTTAAGATATAAAATAATAATAGAGAGGGCATTGAACCTTAAAATTATTAATAAAAATAAAATAAAAATTATTTTTTCTTAAGTAAAACAAGTTTTAAACTGAAAATAAAAAGAGTCCTAATACAAAATTTTGTTTGCTCTTGAGAAATTTTATTTCTCTTTATATTTAGTAGTGATGAATATTATTACTAAAAATGCAAAAATATTTTTTTGATATGCACATTCGAACGTACCTTCAACATATTTTTGATGTGCATATTCGAAGACATAATATTTTAACACGTTTTAATATTTAAAAGTTGGATGTAAAATTTTAGAAATTGTTTCGGATATGCACATCCGAAATCACCTATACAATGTTTCAGATATGCATATATGAAATTTCTTATATTTGTGTCATTTTTGTTTAAAACTACATCAATATAAATATCTTATAAACGAATAATTTTTTTATAATTTTTTCGAAAATATGAAACGAACATAACGATTATATTAGATGTTCAGACACAGTGAAACATAATTTAAAACATAAATTATCTGAAAAATGCGTAATGTCAAAATATTACATCGATAACAAAAATTATACATCATAGATTACTGCTACTGCGTATGCCTAATTCTAACTCTTGGTGACCTCTTCTGTCTCCTATACTGCACCGCACTAGATACTACTCTAACCATCCTCTCAATGATAGCAACCGTCTCAAGACCGCCCGTCTCGATCTGAAATCTGAGAAAATTTTGAGATTTTCAACATGGTCTAGAGGGAGTGGATTAGATGTTAAAAGAAATTCTCAAATTTTTTTTCCCCTTGTTAACTCCAAGCTATACAAGGGTATTAATGTAAAATCACGTGAATTCAAAATGAAAAGCCTCGACGCGGTCCTCCTTACTTCACATTTCAATTTTGATACTGCAACGGTCTACTCTTTCTTTTTCTCCTTTCTTCTCCGCAAACTGCATCGTCCATCTCTTCCAAGCTTAAACCAAATCGAAGCCTCAATGGTTACCACCAAGGTAATTTTCAACTCCATTTTTTATTACTTCAAACTTTTTATCATCTCAGATAAAACCCTAACCTCCTCGAATCTTCAAATTTCCCACAAATCGAGCAACGCTTAGGGTTTTTCTTTTTCTTTTCTCTTTTGTGACATTCTTGTTTCTTTCTTGCATGTTCCAGGGAAAATCGCGAGTCGGTTCAACACGACCCTCTGTAGGTGGACAATCGCGTGCAACCGGTATACGTATATCTTTGAATTCATATAATTGACTTGATCTATTGTTTGATTTTGGTGTTTTTAATTTTTATGGAACAGCAGGTGGTAAGAATTTCAAGGTTTTTTCCGATAATGATCGGATTAAAGTTGGTGATGGCTCCATGTACGTGTTTTCTTTTCTTTTCCTTTATATATCAAATTCAGTAACCATAGAGCAATTTATTCCCTGTAGATGTAGTTTCTTGGCTAACAATAGAGCAACATTAATCTATTTTTTTCTTTCATGTCATTTTGTAATTTATGTAGAAACAGTGCTATAGCAGTTGGCAAGGAGAAAAATATCGGAACATGTGACAATGACACTTCTTGTAAGTTTTAATTGGACTAATTTTGCATTACAAGGTTAATAAACATGTTGCAAAACACATTTATCATATTTACTTTTTTTTTTTTTTTTGTCTTTTGATAGCAAATATAAACCCGAGAAAAGCATTGGCTGATGTTAGCAATGACCAAGGAAACTCTACAACAGCTGCTAAGCGTAGTAATATCTTCAAGTAAGAATCTTATTTATTATAGGTTAATAGAGAGTTAGGAGGGAAGCTGTTTTTGTTAAATCACTAGTACTTACGGTTGGAATTCAACTTGCCATCGTTTATATCGTTATAGAGATTATCTCTCATACTAGACGGTGTGGAGATTTACTTGCCTTTAGGTCAGTGCTTCTGATAGTTCACTGGATTATTTAATTGTAACCTAATGTCTATTACTTTATGTCTTTTGTGCCTTACCAGGGTTTCAGCAGGTTCAACCACTAAAAAAGTGGGTATCCCTTTGAGGAAATCCTTCACGGTATGAAAAGTCACACTCTTCCAATTTTCTGCTAATTCTATGTTTTTTTTTTGTGTGTACACAATCAGTTATTCAACTAAAGGAAAAATCCTTTTTACCTGTACTAATTAATGTGCTTGATGCCCCAATAACGAAATCATGGCTATAACCCACAAAATCACCTAAGAAAATAATAATAAAAACATAACTATAAAAAGTCCTATGAAACCATTCATCTTGTTTATTGGGCTGATAAATTTTTGATCCATATGTTATTGCAATAAATCATTTATCTATGTTTTTCTCCCTTTTCTCAATGGCCCCTGGCTCCATATCCTTTTTATCTTTAGAGAGGTTCAAGTGTTATCTGGCATGGCATTTTAAATTTAATGTATTAGTAGCTATGAAATGGATCTCCAGATTTAACAACTATGCCAAAAGGATGTAAATTTGGCTGACTAGATTTTTATTGACAGCTATCCTCCTTACTGTGAATGATTGGGCCTTTTTAGTAAATAAATGTACTGTGCAAGTACTTCAGAAATTGCACTGCCTTGAATCATATGTTTAGAAGGTAAATTGCACTGCCTTGAATCATATGTTTAGAAGGTAAACTTCTGGAGGTAGTTGCTGGTAGATTCAATAGTTTTAGGCATCTTGAAGTAGTGGCAGCCAAGCCATATGATAGCTGAGTTAGCTGGCCACTAACTGCATGCCTACTCTATTTTCACCCTTTTTTAACCGTTTTCTACATTTAGCAACATTAACTGTGGAATGTGGAACTTTGCATGTTTTTCTTGTTGGGACGGTGATGATAAAAATGTAGCACATGTGAAATACTAATTAGTATTCTTGCTCAAATCAGGTTAAAGAGCAGAAAAATACTAGTCAAGGTGGAGTTCAATTAGATGCTCCCAATAGAGGTGATTAATTTCCCTCTAGGTCTTTTCATTTTGTGCTTGAATAGTTTTAGCTACTTTTCTTCCTTTTATCTAATAATTAGTAGGCGTAGGTTTAAGGGTTCCTTTAGGTGGCCAGAAGAATAGTTCAAATGGAGGTCAGTCTGTTGCCTCAAAGGATAGGTACTTGAGATCCCGTCTCTTGTTTTTCTCACATTTAAATGGATATTAAGTTATTTACATTAGTTGTTTGTGACTTCAAACATGTTATTCTAGAAATTATCCTGACGGTTTTTTTCTTTCTCTTAGGTTCGGGAGGAAGCTTCTATTACCTACAACTACAAGGTTTTTTTTTGTGAATTTCATTTTATTGATTGTGTAAGTTTTATGAACAACATGCGACTGACACCAAAACGTTTATATTTCTTTTTCAAGAACTTCAAGGAAGTCTCTGCCAGTTTTAGATACAACAGGCATAAGGATTTTTTTAGGTGATCGGAAGAATAGCTCAAATGGAGGTCAATCAGTTGCGACGACAAAAGATAGGTACTTGAGATCCAGTCTCTTTTGCCTCACATTTAATTGGATAATAAGTTATGTTTGTTTATTTATGATTCCAAGCATGTTATTCTAGACATTATCCCAACACTTGTTTTTTCCTTTTAGGTTGCTACATACAATTACAAGGTTTTGTGAATTTCATATTGTTATTTGTGTAAGTTTTATGAACAACATGCGACTAAAACCAGAGCGTTTATTTGTCTTTTCCAAGCACTTCAAGGAAGTCTCTGCCAGTTCCTAGGAGGGTAAACAGGGTAGATACGAATAACAAAAAGGTTAGCATAATTTTGTTTACAATTTATCTTTCCTAGTCGTTGCTTTCCTCCATAAAGTTGTGCTTAATAAGATTGCCAAATCTTCCATTTTTAATTGTTTTTTCCGAAATACTTTTCTTTTTCTTGTGTCTCCTCTTATTTTACTTGCTTTTAGGAAAATGCTGGAAGTTCTGAAACATCCAATAGCCAAAATGGTCTACCAAGTAAGAAGCCATGACATAAATAAGAACTATGAAAATGTCAATGAGCTGACTTACCTATTTTGATTGAAATTAATTTACTGTTCATTTCAGGTAAGCTGACAACAGGCAGAAGGCTTAGTTCACAACTAATCAACGCAAGGAGTCATAGATGGAAGACTCGAGTTAGTGACAGCTTTGTTCGAACGTAAGCGACAATTAATAATTAACAAGTAATCATATTATTAGTTTATGCCTCTGATAATTGCGTACTTTTAGTACATTTTGTCTGGAGGAGTGAAGAAAGTTAGCCTATCATAACTGGTACATATGACCAGAATAAAGTATATGTTAGCAAATGACGTTTCTATATTTTTCTTTACCAAAAACTGAACTTTTAGAATTAGATTCTTTATTTTAAAAGCATTTTATAGCGTTTTTCTAACACTAATTGATCCGTGGAAAGTGTCTGCAATAGTTTTTGAAGAAAACACAAACATTAAGATCAAAGTTTTAATGTAGTTCCATCTGGACAAGAGAAGTATCTTGGAATAGTGACCTTGGGTTTTATGAATTTTGTGCTTGATACATTTCTTATTGAAATAGATAGTCATATTCTTTGAGGAGATTTAGCCATCAGTACAGTTGAAGCCCTTAAAAACACGACTCTAGATAAAACCATAGAGAGGGGGAGGGGGAGGGAGAGGGAGAGGGAGAGAGAAAGGGAGAGGGGGAGGGGGAGGGAGAGGGAGAGGGAAAGGGGTTGGGAGAGGGGGAGGGAGAGGGAGAGGGAGAGGGGTTGAGAGAGGGATTGGGAGAGGGATTGGGAGGGGGAGGGGGAGGGGTTGGGAGAGGGGGAGGGGGAGGGAGAGGGAGACCCTGCTTGTAGCTGACTCTGCTTGTCTATTTCTGAGCTACTATCACTGTTTGTAGCTGACCCTGCTTGTCTATTTCTGCAATTACTATTTCTCTTCGCAATGCATTGATAACTACTACGTCTTCTCATGAATTTTATCAAAGTTGTTAATTGCTGCTAATTTGAAGGATGTGATTTGTTATTAAATTGGTCATTTCATATGGGGTGTAGGGTTACAAGTAATGCTAACCAGGCATCCTCAAGCAATTCCACCAAGGTATGTTGGCTGTACTTTAAAAGTTTGTTGTCTGCTCTAATTGGTTTATTTGGTTGAGTGGTGTTGCAATTGTTCTACAGAATTTCGTTCCATTTGGTTATTTATATTTAAAGCCATTTTTATGTCTATGTTTATTTACATTAGGAATTTTCTTCCTATGAATAAGAGTTTACAGGGTGCATGTAAGAAAAATTTGCTGCTATTGTTCAATTAACATACTTGTCAAAGATGTTGTACTCAATATTTTCAATTTGTGATTTTAAGCTTCTATTTTGTACTGTTGTCTAGTGTGCATGTAAAAAAAATTGCTGCTAATGTTTGGTTAACACACTCGTTAAAGATGTTGTACTCAATACTTATCTTGTTTCAATTTGTGATTTTAAGCTTCTATTTTGTACTATTGTCTAGTGTGCATGTCTGCTAACATACTCGCTAAAGATGTTGTACTCAATATTTTTCTCAGTTCAGTTTATGATTTTAAGTTTCTATTTCATCAGTAAATAATTTCCACCACATTTATGTTTTTTGTTTATTAAATTTAGAAGTGCTTTTCTAATAGTGGAACCTGATTTTTTATTTTTTTTCCATTTTGTACCTAGCCTATTGTTAAGACCACACTCAAATCTCAGAGGACTCTCAAATCTAAATCCATAGCAAATCAGAACTCAAAACCAACTACTGCCTTAACATCTAAGGGTAAGGAAAAGGTTTCTTCTTCACTTCCTAAGGATGAGGAAAAGGTTTCTTCTTCACTTCCTAAGGATGAGGAAAAGGTTTCTTCTTCACTTCCTAAGGATGAGGAAAGTGTTTCTTTGTCTCTTCCTGAGAATAGTTCAGTGGTCATTTCCGATGGTGCAAATCAAAGACATCAACCATCTGATGGGGATAGTAGTCTAAAAACAGATTTGTCAGAGTTGATTCCAAGAAAAAGTTCCAGCCGTCGGAAATCTTATACGACTTCACTAATGGAAAAATCTAAGGTTTCAATCTAGCTGAATGCATTAAACTACTTTTTTTAAGGTCCCAAAAAATAAAAAATGAGGGTAAGCCTTAATTTGCAGATTCTCAAGGAAAATGGTGAAGTCAAGAAGCAGGATAGCCTACCAAATATAGATGATGAATGTAACCATCTAGAAGTTTCTGAATATATTGATGATATATATCATTACTATTGGGTCACCGAGGTAATATTGATCAAGTTTTTGATTTCAATTACTCACAGATTGAAAAATTTGAAATTGTTTACCACAGTAGTTTTTTGATTAGTTTTCCTAATTATAGAATTGGTCAATAATTTTACATAAAAAATCTGAACATATAATTGGACCTTTAGTTGTTTTGTCTCTCTTCTCTTGAAGTTTATGGCTGGGATTATCATAGCTAATGCGGACAATACATACCAATCATACTTATAGTCACTATCATAGCTAATGCGGACAATACATACCAATCATACTTATAGTCACTATAGTCAATGTCTACATTTGTTATCCAAGTATATTGGATTTGGAGCTCCAAAATTGTGAACATGTACGAAGCACAGATTTTATTTTGACGTCACTTTTGATCCCATATGTTATTACCAGATACTTAGTTATCTTATCAGAAATCTTGAGGCAATGTAGTTCTTTAGTTGTGCCCATAGTTTCAATGATTTTGATGCTTGACATAATCATAACGCTGCTGCTAGCTCATAGTTTTCCACATACTAACTCTTAGGCTCTGTTTGTGAATTAGCTTTTAGATATAAAGTATTTTAGCTGATATATTTTATTCGTGTTCTATAATTTCAACAAATTTTTTTTAATTTTTAAAAAAAAAATTGCTTTCAATGGCAGGCACATAGTCAAGCTCTGTCAAATTACATGTCAATTCAGACAGAGATTACTCCTCATATGCGGGGAGTATTGGTCAACTGGCTGATTGAGGTACATAATTAATTTCCATCACCCTTAAGATGTATTTTCTTTCATCCTTGTCCTTTTATAAATATATATTGCTAGTCGTTTTTCCTCTTTTGCTGATAATTTTCTTCTGTAGATCCAACCTCAGTAGTCATTTTCTTTGCCTTGGGTTTTACAGGTACACTTCAAATATGATTTGATGCCAGAAACACTATATCTGACAGTGACATTGTTGGATCAATATCTTTCTCAAGTGACTATAAAAAGGAGTGACATGCAGTTAGTTGGTCTTACTGCACTTTTGCTGGCTTCGAAATATGAAGACTTTTGGCATCCAAGGGTTAGAATAAGTTCATTTCAAACCTTTATTTTGAAGAAAAGAGGGTGGTGTGATTCATTGTGATGGTTCTAATTTTTTTTGTCTCGTTTTGTTCCAGGTAAAGGATTTGATTAGTATCTCGGCTGAAACATATACTAGAGATCAAATGCTTGGAATGGTAAGCAATTCTTATCATTCTCAAAGTAAAACATTACAAGAACTCTCATTACATTTCATGCATAGTTATGTTATCCAAAATAACAAACAACTTAAATTGGGAAGTAAACAAATTGATCTACAACTAGAGAAATAGACAAGGAGCAGAGGTTAACCCCACTTGAGTGTATATCTAGAGTCTAGGAGAGAAAGTAGGAAACTGTCAGAAAGTCTAGCAGTTGGTTTGGGTTAGTTGGGAGAGGGTCAGTGTCTTTTGAATAGTGTATTATTTTTCCACCTTTGGTCCATCTTGATACAACCGATCCAGTTCTACTGGGTGCTCAGGGTCTTATGCAGTTGATAAGTTGAGGATTTAACTTGACATCCCCACACTTATACTTGACACCCCCCCATTTGCATGCTTTTACCATTATACCCTTGCCTAAAGTTGCTAATTTTCAAAAAATATGTGGTTTATCGGAAATTTCAAAAATATACTGAAAATTTTGAAAAATCCGGTAGCTCATTTTCGAAAAAATAACTTTTTTTTGTTCAATTTTCTGTTTTAATTTTCACTTGTATGTTCAACATGGTTCTTACAATTATATTCTAATGCTAATGCATGGAATGAATTTTTCTTTTCAGGAAAAGCTTATTCTTAGAAAACTGAAGTTCCGTCTTAATGCTCCCACTCCTTACGTTTTTATGGTTAGGTTTATCAAGGCTGCACAATCAAATATGAAGGTATTTAATTCAGCATACAAAATCTACAGACATGACCAGTTATTTTGGATGAGAAACGGTCATTCTTTCTAATTGAATTTTTATGCATAATATGTCTGATTTCTAAATTTTTGTTTCTAATTTATTTTCACAGCTTGAACACATGGCCTTCTTTCTCATTGACCTGTGCTTAGTTGAATATGAAGCCTTAGCATTCAAACCATCATTACTATGTGCATCAGCTCTCTATCTTGCTCGTTGTACCCTGCAAATAACCCCATCATGGACACAACTCCTTCAAAAGCATGCGCGTTATGAAGTTTCACAGATCAGGCACTTGTTCTACTACCATTTTAACTTTTTCAGTTTCAAAATAATGATTTCTGTTTATGCTAACTACAATAATATCTGTAGGGATTGTGCTGATATGATGCTGAAATTCCATAAAACTGCTGGGAAGGGAAAGTTAACAGTGGCTTATGAAAAATATTCCAGAAAGGAACTCAGTGCGGTAGCAGGGGTGAAACCGTTGGACAGACTTCCCCATTAATTTGGTTTGTGCTGGAGAGTTATATTTCTGAACTCTTTGAATGTTGCAACCATTAATTTTTTTTCTTCCTTTTATCAGGTTGGATTCTCACAACCTTAAATTAGGTTTTATTAGAAGCATGTTTGTTAGGATACACTGAGGTCAATATATTCTTTTTTAACTCCAATTAATCCCACGATAATATGAGCATATGTTGTCATTATGCACTATGACAATTTCAACTGATAAAATGCACTATGTCAGGTATTGCATTTTTTTGGGATAGAATTGTTGCATTGCACACTAAAGGAAAAATAAAAAGCAGGCTTGGCAACCACAAACTTGGTGGTGATTGCAAACTAAATTTATTTGAATTTTTTTTTGAATAACCAGGAGGTATTAAAAAAAAATCGCAAATAACCACGTTTCGAAAAAAATTACGCAAATAACCATGTTTCAGATGGCTCTCCAAAGGAGGAGCCATCTCACTTGGCGTTTGCCCTAGGCGCCATCTCACTTGGCGCCTCCTCTCTCTTTTAGCCATGTGAGATGACGCTCCATCTCACTTGGCTCCTAGGGCAAAATGCTGTTTTTATAAATAATTCGTCCGTTTCTCTGTTATTTCTCACACTTTCTCGCACCGTTTTCTTATTTTTTACTCTGTTATTTGCGTCATGACATCGCCCATGATTTTTACTAGAGATGGTTACGTTATCTTCTCCGCCACAAAACCTGCGATGAAAATGAAATTCTAGCACATTCACTCCATAGAGCGTCTAAAGCGGGAGTTGTTGCGATGACTAGATGGAGACATCGTGGAGGGGGGAAATATTCGAAGGATCTCCAGCGAAGACGAACAACAACCTCACATGCGACACAGGAAGACCTAATGTTTGGTTGGAGGAAGTAAAAATAGACAACGACGTAATGTTGATGATGCATGGGTCAGATGATATTGTTTTAACAGTTGTAATTTTATAGACGGAATATCGTGTTTTTTTTCTTGTACGCGCAATGTTTATTGTAGCAAATACTCTTAATTAAAAACCCTAATATTTACAACATAATGAAGGAAAGATTTTATGTAATAAAATTTTTATGTGGTCTAGGCAGGCGCCCGATTCGGACAATTTTTGCGATTGTGTCTGACCTGACGGCATAAATCACACTTTCTTTCCAGCTTGTCAAGGGAGTTCGGTTGTGATGCGCTTACTTTTGGGACGACCCTTTTTGTTCCTTCGTATTTGGTCATTGTGCCATACTATTTCGCCGTCATATGCAGACCAATAATCTGGTTTTGCTACTAAAGGGAAGCTGTTGTTGTAAACGTTGAACAACGTTTCAGATTTGTAAATGTGTGACAGAAGTTGTAGCGCGTCTTGATAAGCACACGCGACAATGACATGAGAGCAAGGCATACGAAAGACTTGAAATTTGCCACAATCACACCAACGAGAAGGTAGTACAACCCTATATTCTTGTCTTGGCAGGCCCTCGTTGTGGTCGATTGTCTCTTTCACAATGAAGTTGTGGTTGTGTCGGTCAAACCGTATAACCATATGGGTGTTTTCTGCCTTAATGTACTTCATGCAGCTTTCACTCCATAGTTGTCCAGATTGTAACACCGCATTCCACATTTCACCTCTTTTGGAAAACAACGAAGTCATCCTAAAATACGTAGATTTTACCAAAGCCATCAGGAGGTTTCATATGCCTTTGAATACCCCATTCATCGATTCAATTAGATTTGTTGTCATGTGCCTCCATCTTTGGCCATTGTCGTATGACCTGGTCCATTTTTCTACCGGAATATTGTCGATCCACCTACCGGCTTCCGACAAACGGATCTCGTTGCGGTAATATTTGAATGTGGGTTGTGTCAATGCATATCCCGCATTCATAACCGCTTTCCTTAGTGTTTTGTCCTTGATCTCCCTCGTGAAATTTTGGACGATATGTCTAACGCAATAGACATGCGTCAAAGGAGGGTCATGCCAACAGTTTGCAGGATTATATTATATGCACTTTCAATGGATGCATGTCTATCTGAGATCAAACAGAGATCTGTTGAGGAGCCACATGTGTTCCGAAAAAAGCTCCAAGCACCACCAGTCTCCCCCTCGACTAGGACAAAGGAAATTGAGAAAATGTTGTTGTTGCCATCTTGTGCAACTACCATCAGTAGCGTGCCTTTGTATTTCCCATACAACCAAGTCCCATCAATTTGTATAATTGGTTTGATGCAAACCCTGTGATGCAAGGTTGAAATGCCCAAAACACTCAATTGAATATTCCATTTTCGTTTAGTTGACTATCATCTTTTGGGCGTATGCTGACACTGTTTCCAGAATGTAAACAATACCCGGAGAATAAGTCTCTGGAGTGCATTCAGGTAGCGAGGAAGTTCTTGGTATGACTCCTCCCAGTTTCCGTACACCTTTTCAATCGCCTTGGTCTTTGCTAACCACGCCTTACGGTAAGACGGAGTATAGTTAAAAACCGTAGTGATGTGAGAGATGATGGTTTTCACCTTCAAAGATGGATCATTGCTGACGAGTGATAGGATTTCTTGACAAATGAGATTGTAATTAAGTTTTCGATGGTCCTGTGATATAGTAGAACTGAGTTTACACGGTCCACCTTAAAATCGACCGAGTTGAGCATGTGGAATTTTTTATGGCTCTGATACATTCTTCTCTATTACGAAACTTGTCTTTCTCCTTTAAGTTTTCATCCGACTGCATATACGAATTGAAAAATAAATCAGAAACCCTAAACCCTAAACCCTAAACCCTAAACCCTAAACCCTAAACCCTAAACCGGAGGTGGTGTGTAGATCTCGTTTGTAGGAATACCAAGTTCGTCTTTGGAATCATCATTCACCATTTCGTCAAACTCTAAATCGTCATCTTCTTCTTCTTCATCAACTGCATCTACCTCTGCTTGTTCGGTCTCCAAAGGATCAACCACTTGTGTCACTTGAGGCTCTCGCTACAACTCAATAGAGTTGTACCCGGAATACACATGACTGAAAAACATATTCTGAAGATCCTCGTCATCTTGAACCTCAACCTTATAACATATTATTTGGTTGTTACCAAAAAAATTGAATTATGATAAAATATTTGTGTCACCGGGCCTCGTCCAAGTTTGGCCTCCAATCATTTTTTGAAGTACAAGAAATTGGCTTTCTCGTTTAAATGAAAATGTTGTTTGTGTCTCTAAACAAAAACCCAGAGGTGGGACAAATGTATGTCTCACCGTTGAAATGTGCATTGATGACATATTGGGGTGCAGAGGCCATTGCGTATGATTGTTTGAAGGTTTAAAGGTTTGAAGATTTGAAGGTTGGAAGGTTTGAAGTTTATGAGTTATTCGAAGGTTTGAAGGTTTGATTGTTTGAAGGTTTGTTGATTGTTTGAAGGTTTGAAGGTTGGAAGGTTTGAGAGATTAAGTGAATCTGTGTTTTGATAAATGTAAGACTAAATAGGTCATATTGAATTTGAATTAACTAAGGCTGTAACCTCTAAGGCTCCTCCCATCATGTCCAATAGTGTTACCAAGGCTGTCACCTAACCTGCGCCTACTCTGCAAACCATGACACCTCTTATTCGCCAATGGGGATGGCGACATCTTTCATTTTTGTACTCTTTCGCCAAGTCCAATGACGCCTCCCTTCACGTCCAATAGTGTTACATGCATTCAGGGATGCCTTCTCCAAGGCTGCCACCTAGCTTGCGCCTACTCTGCACCTACACTGTAACCTGTAAGTCTCCTCCCATCATCTCCAATAGTGTTACATGCATTCAGGCATGCCTTCTCCAAGACTGTCACCTAGCCCGCGCCTACTCTGCAACCCATGCCACCTCTTATTCGTCAATGGGGATGGCGACACCTTTCATTTTTGTATTATTTCGCCAAGTCCAATGGCATCTCCCTTCACGTCCAATTTACACATGCATTCAGGGATGCCTTCTCCAAGGCTGCCACCCTAGCCTGTGCCTACTCTGCACCTACACTGTAACCTGTAAGTCTCCTTCCATCACCTCCAATAGTGTTACATGCATTCAGGCATGCCTTCTCCAAGGCTGTCACCTAATCTGCGCCTACTCTGCAACCCATGCCACCTCTTATTCTCCAATGGGGATGACGACACCTTTCATTTTTGTACTCTTTCGCCAAGTCCAATGGCGCCTCCCTCCACGTCCAATAGTGTTACATGCATTCAGGGATGCCTTCTCCAATGGCTGCCACCTAGCCTGCGCCTACACTAAAAGAGTGACACTTATCATGCATGCATGCACCAACTACCACCTCACTTACTCTATGAAATTGTTTGCCTATAAATACAGAGCATAACATACTTCTCTCGCACCCGCAATCGTCTCACTCTCTGCTACAAACTCTTTCATAATCTCTTACAATTTCTAAGTCTTTCATAATCTCAGGCATTTTCAACAATGACTCTTCTCACAATGGGCGATTCTCACAGAGGCACAAGGGATAACATTGCAGCATTTGTAAGTTTCTTTTATAGTTATACATTTTTTTATACTTCTGGTAATGCTTTGTTCATCTTACTTAATCTTACACCTTTTACATTATTAACTCAGGATACCAAAAGATTCAGAATCCGGTCTCACAACTACCTTTCTCCCGACCCATTTATCGTACCATATATAGAATACGCAGGTTTCAGACATATTATAAAGATCTTCAACTGCACAATTGATTCAAAGTTCATACTTACAATGTTGGAAAGGTGGAGACCAGAGACCCATACATTTCATCTACCAATAGGTGAATGTACCGTCACGCTAGAGGATGTGTACATGTTACTGGGTCTCCCTATCGATGGTAAGGCCACTAACGGGTCGGTTCAACAACCCAATTCTGTGTGTGAAGAATTGTTGGGCAGGGATATGGTTGAAGGTGGTGGTGCGAGAGGTTAGGGTATACTACTAACTGAGCTTAAAAATCATTATGCGACTTTGGAATTAAACGAAAATTCCTCCGAGCAA